CCAGTAGATGACCACGGTCTGGAGCAGAGTGCTTAGAGATCCTTGAATCAGGTTATTCATGGCCGCCGCTTGCTTGGGTCTTCCACCGGTCGGTCGGGAAAGTTGAAGTTGCTTCGCCTTCTCTTCTGGCAATATTCCCTCCTTGTGTTCCATCTAATGCAGCTGTGCTTCCCAATCTGTACCGATTCTCAAAGGGAATGGTAATGTCTGCTGTCGTAGCTGTAACGAAATTGTCATTCAGGACGACGACGTCATGCTGAAGTGTGAAATGCTCGATAACAGCTGGCTGCGATGCGGGGGGGGGGGCTATCAACCCTGCTGCTATCCTGTGAAGCACATTCTCGTGCTTTCTGATATACTGCTGTGCATGTGCTGTCACACAGTCGCACAGAATTTGGTTCAAGGTTTCTTCCTGCCTGAGCATAAATGGCGCAAGATGGGCAGAAGCTTGAGGAGGGCGGAGTGTACAAAGCGGTAGTAGTTTGCGTATTTGAGGTACTCCCAGAGTACATGAAGTGATTGGAAACCGCATCTTGTGAATCTCTGCCCAGTAAGCGTTTCGAGACTCAGAAAACGATTCATTGTGATTATATAAGGAATATCGGCCGCAAGCCAAAATTATTTATAATCACAATCACAATATTTGGCAGTCTGTACATTTGTTCGATCCTCAGATGCAACGTTTTCTCTTATCCAGTTTTTTGCAAGTCAAGAACCCATTTATGTGCTCGGTTATCATTTATACAGAACCAAAACTACCAAACAGTGGTCGTTACGTTACAATTTTGCGTGGTCCCTTCCCATTCATGGCACTAGGCGAAGAAAGTTTCTTTTTGTTCTGGGCAATGAATCGAAAAGACTGGTGCCAAGCAATTTTTTCAGAGCCATCCATGTTCGTCATTGGAATTATTGCGTCATTGTGTTGCAGTAGTTCTCTTTGTATGTATGTTTATATGCATAATTTCCTCTGTCCGAATGCAAATGGGCGGTGAATTCCGTCGTTCGTGGGAAGGAGAGTGCGATTGTGAAAAGTAGAGTTAACTATTGACCAAGAATTAATAAGTTTTCTCTTCCTGGTTAACCACTTGAAGGTCTGATGAATTTTTAGTCCCTTATGGTATTGTATTGCAGTTCGTTAATTACATATATTCGTTATTTTCTTTATCCAAGCTTAGAGGGGCAATGCATTACCTGTTTATGGTGAAAAGGAACGCGAATAGTTAGAGAGTAGTTAATTTTCAACTTAAAATGAGTACCTTGCTTCTTTCTGATTAGCAACTTGAAACTTTTTTGTAACTTTTTCCACACTTTTTGCTACTGTTACTAGCAAATAAAGAAAGACGCGGTTAGAAGCTCGAAAAATAGAATATTTATTAGGTGAAGATTTCGGAACCCAAAACTGCATTCCTTGATCAGCACAGATTTGTAACGTCTTTTGGTTATACTTGAAAAATCTCTATTTTCCGACTTCTGTCAGTCTTTAACTTTTTCTGTTGTTGTTAAACTGCTGTTTTTTTCGAACTGTGTTCCTACTAAAGCAAGCTGTGTTCTCTCAGCCACCAGTTTCATTGATTCCCGTTGTTAATCTCATTAAAGAACAAACATTGAAACGTGGTTTATTGTTACTGTTATTGCACGTGGTATGTCAGATGATAGGCCGGCATCAACGATGCGGACCGTCACGGACGGACCTCCTTTAAAAGTGACGTAAGAAGAATTTTGTCGTCAGCAGCTGATCGTGATTAATGCAAAGGAACCGTTGCTGCTCTGCTTTACAGTATGACCACAAACGCCTGAACAAAATGCTCCATCCTCATTGATGAGTGGTAGGTGAGCAGACCGGATGAGTGGCTGTTGGGTAATAATGCCGCTGTCGGTCTGAATCCAGCTGTAATAACAGAAGCTATGAATTAGTGGCTGCAGATAGGGTGTAAGGACGACACCAAATGACTAACTGTGTAGTCACCGCAACATGCAAAAGCAAGTTATAAAGGTGACAACCGGTCAAGCGAGCAGTGGTAGGTTTACATCAATAAACTAGTAGGCAATTTGGTCAATGGTGAGATCGCAAGACAGATAAATTCGTTGTTGCGTTGGTGGTGATACTGAAAAGCAGCATCAAACAAGGTCTACTACTAAACAAGGCAAAAATAATAATTCTGATCGGGTGATGATTGGTCGGTCGGTCTTGATCAGATGACCGCACAAGCACGAGTACCAGCAGTGGTGCCAGAGAAATCCGTAACGGTAGACGGAAAATCCATCAGGATAGGGTTACGGTACAAATCAGTCAGAGCGAGCGACACCTGGCGAATGGTCGCGGTCATGGCCACAGAAGGTTCTTCAGCAGCCGCGTGAAGAAGACGACCGAATGCTTGATCTTGGACATCCGACGGTAGAATGTGTTGCGGAAAGTTCGGCTGAAGGTCAAGAAGCAGTAGAAGTGTATCGAGTGAGCCACCACCTGTGAGACGTTCACCAGACAGTCAGTGATCGAGTAGTAGAGCGCCTTCGAGAACTGCTGATCGACCTTCCATCGAGAGCTGTTGTCGTCCAACAGCTCGATGTCAGTGGACATGAAGTAACGGGCGGCGTCGGCCAGGTACGACAACTGCTCGACGACGAATGCACTTCCGACGATGACCACCAGACAAGTGATGCCGTTGCTGTTCAGCTTGAAGCCGGCCGGCAGCCGCCGCGAGGGCGCCGGCATGATCCCGGATCGGATGCCGCTGAACCAGGGGATTATTGAGATCTGCTTTCGAATTGCGGTCGCCGACGCATTGACCGCCGCAGTGGTTGGCGCGGCTGGCGTCAAGACATGGTCCTGCGGGTTCACCTTCGAACGATGCTTTGGGCGACGTGGCACCAGGGCGGCGGCCCTGCGGCTGACGGCCACCGTGAAGAAGGTCATCGCCATGACGCTCAAGCACGGCACTGCCACTTCCGTTGAGATGCAGAAGTACCTGTACCAGCGTGACTTGCTCACGTCCCGTAGCTCTATGTCATAAATCGTCTCGTTGATGAACACCACA